CTATATCCAAATCTGAACCGATCTCGATAAAATTTGGCAAAGATATTTCTGAGCTGTATTTGATATATTTCCCTGAATATCGTTGTTACGGAGTGCATATTACGGCTGTGGTTAACAAATACAATAAATCGGATAAACAATATATATGGGAGCTATAACTATATCTGAACCGATCTTCAACAAATTTGGCATATTACCTTCTATACTAAATTCGGTCGTATGTGCCAAATTCCATCCCATTTGGACTATTAGACGTTTGGTGCACAATAAATGGTAAATCGGACGAAGTTATATATGGGAGCTATATCCAAATCAGAACCGATCTCGATAAAATTTAGCAAAGGTATTTCTGAGCTGCATTTGATATATTTCCCCAAATATTGTTGTTACAGAGTGCATATTACGGCTGCGGAGGACAAAAATAACAAATCGGATGAACAATATATATGGAAGCTATAGCTATATCTGAACCGATTTCGATCAAATTTGGCATACTTATTTTCAGGCCTAATTTGGTTATATGTGCAAAATTCCACACTATTCGGGCTTATATTACACGTTTGGTGCACAATAAAAGGCAAATCGGACGAAGATATATATGGGAGCTATATCTAAATTTTTACCGATTATCTCCAATTTCAATAGGGTTCGTTCTTGGGGCAAACAAATGTTTTTTGCAAAATTTCATCTCAATCGGATAATAAATGCGACCTGCATTTTGTTCACAAGAATAAATGGACAGACGGACGGACGGACGGACGGACAGACGGACTGACATGCATAAATCAAGTCAGAAAGTGATTCTATGCAGATCATCAAAAGGAACTATGGGTCTATCTCGTTTCCTTTTGCCTGTTACAAACAAATGCACAAAGACATAATACCCTGACCACCTTGTGGTGTAGGGTATAAAAATAGAAAAGATATGAGCATGTTTCGAAATACGAGATATTAAAACTAAAAAAAAAAATATTTTTTAGCAAATTCGGAAAAAATAAGTAATAAGTATTCAAACGTCTTTTGCTCAGAGACTCACACTTAAATTTGATCTAGAATATTTCTATCTTTGACATTTTCCCCAAAAAAATGAAGGATAAAGGGAGATTTTGTTGTAGATTGGAAACATATTAAAAAAAAAAACAAGTTAAAAAGCAGTAAGTTCAGCCGGGCCGAACTTTGAATACCCTCCACCATTTGCAACGAATTTGGAAATTTTCAAGAAAAAAATCCTTAAAAAATTCTGTTAAAATTTTAAAAATACGGAATATAGCCGTTATATTGGGGTCTATACGACGTGAACTTACATAGGCATTGTTTGTCATAAGCCATTACCATATTCAAATTTAAAAACTTGAAATAAACGGTGAATAATGCAGCTAAAATCATCAAAATATCGTATATATAAGGAGGTACGGTTATATCGGAGCTGTGCTAAGACCTGGACCAGCATAGACAATTTTCTGTCTCTGTCTCGAACTTGAAATACGACATCTCAAACAATTTCGGTGGGTATTGTACCTAAACTCGTCAAAATACCGAATATAGGGAGGTACTGATATATGGGGCCTATACGAAGATCTGGACCTGCATACACAATTTTCTGTCACAGACTGTAGTTCTCATTACGAACTCTAAATACGTAATTTGAAACTACTCCGGTGAATAATGTCGCCAAAATCATCAAAATACCGAATATCGGTAGGTAGCGTTATATGGGGGCTATATGAAGATGTGGACCCACACAGACAATTTTCTGTCACAGACTGTAGTTCCCATTACGAACTCTAAATACGAATTTTAAAATACTCCGGTGAATAATGTCGCCAAAATCATCAAAATATCGAATATTGGGAGGTACTGTTATATGGGGGCTATATGAAGATGTGGACCTGCACAGACAATTTTCTGTCACAGACTGTAGTTCTCATTACGAACTCTAAATACGTAAATTGAAATTACTCCGGTGAATAATGTCGCTTAAATTATCAGAATACCGAATATCGGGAGGTACCGTTATATGGGAGCTATACGAAGACATGGACCTGCACAGACAATTTTCTGTCTTAGGCTGTAGTATCCATTACGAACTTCAAATACCAAATTTGAAATAATTCCGGTAAATAATGTCGCTAAAATCATCAAAATGTCTAATATCGGGTGTTCTGTTATATGGGGGCTATGCGAAGACGTGGACCTACATGGCCCATTTACGATCTTAACCTGCCTACTGGAATAATAAACATGTGTGCAAAATCAGCGTAAAATTCTAAGACGATTTAGCCCTGTCCGTCCGTCTGTTGTAATCACGCTACAGTCTAAACGAATTAAGATAGAAAGCTAAAATTTTGCACAGATCTCTCTTTTGTCTGCAGGCAGGTTAAGTTCCAAGATGGGCTATATCGGTCCACGATATCGTATAGCCCCCATATAATGGTACCCCCCGATATTCGGTATTTTGATGATTATAGCGACATTTTCTAATGGAATGGTCTGAAAATCCACACATGGAGTTACTTGTGATTACTTCATCCCTTGAAAGAGAATTATCTATATAGGTCCACGATATCGAATAGCCCCCATACGGTATTTTGATTTTTCAATTGAATTGTCTGAAATTCCACACAAGGAGTCTCTTATGAGTATTTCACCCCCTGAAAAAGAATTGTCTATATAGGTTAACGATATCGTATAGCCCCCACATAACGGTACTCCCGTTTTTCGGTATTTTGATGATTTTAGCTATATATTAGAATGGTATTCTCTGAAAATCTACACAAGGATTTCTTTGTGAGCACTTTAACCCCTGAAAGGTATTTGTCTACATAGGTCCATAATATCGTATATCCCCCCTATAACGGTACCCCCCATATTCGGGATTTTGATGATTTTAGCCACATTTCCCAATGGAATTATCTGTAAATCCACACAAGGAGTTCCTTGTGAGTACTTTACCCCAGACATATATTTGTCTATATAGGTCCACAATATCGTATATCCCCCCATATAACGGCACCTTCCGATATTAGGTATTTTAAAGATTTTAAAAGAATTTTCAATGGATATTATTTTTTTGAAAATTCTCTAATTCGTTCCAAATGGTGGAGGGTATACAAAGTTCAGCCCGGCCGAACTTATTGCTTTTTTACTTGTTTAAAAACTATTTCATCTAGAAATATGTCTTATTCTGAGATTTATAGTGAAATTTCGCCTAAAATGAAATTTTATGCTACTCGCATGCACCAACTCAATAAAGTTCGAAGAAAAAATTATCAAAAACATAGAAAATATTTTCGATATTTTTGACAACATTGATGCAAATATTTTCTTGATATATAATGAAAATGTAGATTTCTATGCTTTGGTGACCAACAGTAAAGTTTGATGAAGAATATTTTTGTCTCTGAGGTCATTCTCCTAAAATGAGGCTTTGAAGGAGAATTTTGCGTGAAATCATGGCTATAACTTTATAATATGTTTATGAATTACTGCCGTTAGTTAAGATTTAAACTTTTGCCGAATTCTGGGACCTATCTTCTTCTTCTTTGTAATTTACGGACTCGAAAACCGTTGAACAGATTTTCCTGAAAACTTCCATATATACTACAACATCGCCTGAAAGTAACATAGGCTATAACAATTTTTGAAATGCCACTTGGAACTGGAGATTTAGGATCAGAATCGGAGTTAACTCCCAAAAATTTAGATTTTATATGCACACATTTATTGATCGATTACAGATACCGTCTCCAAATTTGGAATGCCTAACGGAATAAGTAAATTTGCCAAATTATATTGAAATCGGTTGAGATTTTACATTTTTGACTGATTTCATGCATTTGATGCATCAAACATACTTTGTATCTCCAATTTCAATGAAATTTGGAATGTGTAACGGAATTAAAACGAACATACATTTGCCAAATTATATTGAAATCGGTTCAGATTTGGATATAGCTCACATATATATTTGGCCGATTTCGTTTATTTGATGCACCAAACACGATATGTATGTTCTATTTTAATGAAATTTGGAAATGAGCGACGGAATTTGATCAGAAAATAAAGTTGTCAAATTATATTCAAATCGGTTTAGATTTGGATATGGCTGCCATATATATTTTCGACCGACTTCGTTTATGTGCAATTGCAATAAATTCGTCATGGTGACTAAATTTGGTACAAAAATAAATTTGCCAAACTATATGAAAATCGGTTGAGGTTTGGGTATAGCTCTCATATATATTTCGGCCGATTTCATGTATGTTATTTACCAAACAGGATATGTATGTATATGTATATAGGCGGAATTGGGTTACAATAATAAATTTGACAAATTTATTAGAGATCGGTTAAGACATGGATGTAGCTCCCATATATATTCTCGGCCGATTTCACATACAGGGTGAGATAAAAAACTGCAACGAAGTCAAAATCCATAATTGTTACATTTCTTCTTCAATTTTATTGAATGAAAGCAAAATATTTCGGAAATAGCATCAAATTTTAGAATAAGTTTAGATTTGTTCGAATTGGTCACCTTTGGCACGCATTATGGCCTTCAAACGGCCAATGGAACCGTCACACGCTGCCCGAATGAGGTAGAAGGGGGAACTTGCCCCCTCTAGTTAGGTTACTTTGCAATGTAAACTTTTAAAATGCCGATACACGTGTCTTCTATTTTTTAGCTCTACTTTCATAGTCTGCTTGATTTTCCGGGTAATTAATTAAAAAAGTTTTATTTTGGCGCAGAGTGTAGTAATGCCTAAATTAGCATAACGTACTACTACTTTCTCACTTGGTAGCACGTGTACTGTCTTCTACATACGTACTTGTATCCATTCATACATGTATACATGAAAATAGTACCATAATCTACTCATTACCTATTTTAGATTCCCTTACATTCAACTCCCTCAAAAGTGCTAATTTGTACCTGTCGCTCACAGCATTGGCGGGGATCATTTATTACAACAACTAATCAGAAATATTTTATTTTGCAGGTTACTCATCAATCCATCCATCTACCCATCCATCCATTTAAAGGGAAATCAATGATGTACCACCATCAGCTATTAAGCGAAAGTTTCTAAAAAACGAACGTGGATCAGATAACAAATAAAACGCGTCAATAGCGCACAAACGAAACGAAAGTCGCCAGAGAGGGAGGTGAGGACTTCAAACGACTGAAACAACAACAGAAAAGTAGCAGCCACAGCATCACTAATCAGATAATGATCAAACACAAAACTCCAACGTTGGTCTTAGGACTAGCGCTTCTACTGTTCGCCGGCACATCGCTGCCCCTGGCTGCAGCCCAAGATGATTCGTTGGCCGGTAGTTTTCTATCCGGTCTGTTGGACACCATTACCAGCACAGCAGATTCTAAAGACTGTCCCGGTGTGTGTGTCCACACATTGGCCACACTCATCTGCTACGAGGTGTTGGATGATGTACCGTGTCCGTCGCCCAGCATGAAATGCTGCATAGAAAGTGCGCCAGCAAAAAATGTTACATCTCTGTTGAGCAGTAGCAGCAGCAGCAGTAGCAGTACCACAACAACAACAACGACCACCAGTACGAAGCGGCCCACAACAGCAGCAACAAGTAAACCAAAGCCCAAGATTACCACAACCACAACGACGCACAAACCAAAAACAACGCAGAAGAAACCCCCCACCACAACAGCAACAAAGGCGACAACCAAGAAACCTTCGGCAGCCAGCAGCAGCACGACAACAACAACATCAGCTGCCACAAAGAAAACAGATAAAGATAAAAAGGCAGATGAAAAGTCGGGTAAGATGGAATGGAAACATTATGGAAATGTTATGGAAAAATTATAAATTCTCTTCTTCGTCTTCTTTTTTTTTGTAGTGGATAAATGTAAGGGTGTGTGTGTTACGGATCGCATTGCAGAATATTGTGAAGCCTATTTGACGAGTCCCGATTGGTGCAAGGAGGGCACCAAATGTTGTGTCTCTTTAGATGACTATGCCAATACCAAAATGCCAAAGGATATTTATATACCAGCCAGTAAGTATTGGGGAATTTTTGAAGGAAACTAAAAGAGATTCAGCAAGCGGTAAATTTGTGGGGGTGTTTTGATCCTCTTTTCATCTTATATGACCTCTCATACAGGCCTTTCATGCAGAGTAATCGAGTAGTAGGTATCTTTCAGGCCATCTACACATACACAGGTCTTTTCGTACAGATGACACTCCGTTTAATATTTCATACACAGGAACATTACAGGTCTTCGATATATAGATGACCGACTTCATGTCGACTATACAAAGAGTACTGTCTTAGGTGTTTCTGTAGATATAACACACTTTCAGGCCTCTCTAAGTAAAATATTAGTCTCTGATCCCTTACCTCAATACTAGATTTAGTACCGCTTAGTACTTTTTTTTCCAAAAAACTGTCAAAACTCTAACATAAATAACATCGCAAATCTAAAAATCAAATTTTAGAATTTTGTCTCTATCCCATTAATACCAAATAAAGTACCATTCAGTACTTTTCGTACCATTTTTGTACACATTTACAAAACTACCTCCATATCTTTACCACAGACACCAACAGTGACATCTATATCAAATGTTAGCTCTATTCCATAAACCAATACCAAATTTAGTACCATTCAGTACTTTTCGTACAATTAAAGTACATATTTCCAAAACCACTTTATATCTTAATTTGCAGATACCAACAGAGACCCCAACATCAAATTTGAGAATTCCAAACCAATCCTTCCACCCAATACCGAATGTAGTATCATTAAGTTTTTTTTGTACAAACATAGTACATCAATACTAAAAATAGTACCATTCAGTACATTTCCTAATATTATAGTGCACACTTCCAAAAACCACCTACATATCTTGACCACAGACATCAACGGTGACTCCTATATCAAATTTCAGGGTTTCAGCTCTATCCCATTGGCTAATGGCTAATTTAGTACTAGTTAGTACTTTTCGTGCAATTATAGCACACATTTCGAAACCAAATACATATCTCAATATCTCACATACCAACTGAGACCTCAATATCAAATTTTGGGATTCGAGCCCTAAGCTTTAGCCAATACCAAATTTAGTACCATTTAGTACTTTTCGTACAAACATAGGACGTAATCTCAAACTACCACCAAAACTCAAACACAGATACCATTAGTAATCGAAATATGAAATTTCAGATTTTATCTCTATCCCTTCACCCCATTCCAAATATAGTACCATTCTGGACTTTTCGTACAATAATAGTACACATTCCCGAAACCGCCTCCATATCTAAACCACAGACACTAACAGCGACATCTATATCAAATTTCAGGATTTCAGCTCTATCGCTTCATTCAATATCAAATTTAGTACTAATTGGTGCTTTTCGTACAATTATAGTACATATTTCCAAAACCACTTCATATATCAATTCCAGATACCAACAGACACCCCAATATCAAATTTGAATATTTCAAACCAATCCCTCCACCCAATACCAAATGTAGTACCATTTAGTTCTTTTCGTACAAATATAGGACGAATTTCCAAACCTCCGCCAAATCTGAAACGCAGATATCATCAGGAATCTGAATATGAAATTTCAGGATTTTATCTCTATTCCTTCACCCAATATCCAAATATTGTACCATTCAGTACTTTTCGTACAATTGTTGTACGAATTTCCAAACCCAATTCCAAATCTCAATCTCAAATACCAAGAGTTCTCTAAATATTAAATTTCAGATTTTTATCTCTGTCCCCTCAACGAAGACCAAATTTAGTACCATTTAGTACTTTTCGTACTAATTCTAATACACAGTTCAAAAATCACCTCGAGATGTCAAAACAATTTCAGATTCCAAGCACTAACTGTTCACAAAATACCAAATTGTACCAAATATAGTACCATTTAGTACTTTTCGTGCACTTGTAGTACACATTTCCAAATCCACTTATTTATTACAAACCTACCACCAACAGGAACCTCGATACAAAATTTCAAAATTCCAGCTTCATTTGTTCACCCTAAATCTAAATATTCCAATTTTAGTACTATTTAGTACAATTCGTAGACTTAGTACACATTTCCAAAACCACCCTCATGTATCAAATTTACGTTCCAACCTTGATTCTTATACCAAATTTCAAATTTTTGGCTCTACCCGACCATTTTAGAAGTTTATATGTCCAAATTCCTATTAACCCCCCTTCAACCCCTTCCACTCTTTTAACACCCTACTTATATTTCCATTCTCACCACTTTTTTCCCCATTTTCAGAACACATGGCCAATTTGGGTAGCTCTCACAACAAAACAAAAGTTACTCCTACGACAAGTAAGACTAAAGTTGCCTCAACATCATCCTCATCGACGACTACAACATCAAGTACATCGACGTCGACCACAACAACAACATCCACCACTCCCGAGCCGGCTCGAACGAAAATCATTAGCAGCGGTTCTAGTCAAAATAAACCGGTGAAGACGAAAAAACCTCAACCCACTCAGGCTACGACAACAACAACCACCGAAGACCCCACCGAAGATGAGGAAGAAGAAGAAAACGACAACGAAGAGCAACAACAAGATGACGAAGAGGCGGATGCCAGCGAAAAGAATGAAAATACCAATGGCCAGGTACTGAAGGAGTGTGAGGGTGAATGTATGAACGGCATCTTGGCCATTTTCTGTGATGACATCGATGCCGATGCTTTCTGTCCGAATGAGGGCAGTTGTTGTATTACCGGACAACCGGCCCCGCAAACATCACCAGCCACCAAAACAAATCCCACAAAGGCACCCAATAAGGTTTCTTCCAAGCCAGCATCGAAACCGGCCCAAAAACAACCACCACCTCCACCACCAGCTCAATCGGGAGGAGGCGGCGGCAACGATTTGTTCTCTCAATTGATTTCATTTGCTGAGAATACTCTGAGTGGGGCAGGTGGTGGCTCCCCAGCTCCGGCACCAACCTCCCAAGCCCCACCCAAAGTGCCACGTTGTCCCGGTTTCTGTTTGCTCAACATAATGGCCGCGTTCTGCGAAAGACCCTCAGTTTTGATATCAGGACCCACAACCTGTTCCAAGGGTTCCGTGTGCTGTGATAATTCACGATCGGGCTCCCCTAAGCCACCACCACAAACCAGATATCCACCCACAACTGCAGCAGCCCCGCCACCCACACAACCACCCTATGTGGTACCGAACACCCCCTTGCCAGATCCCCGCGAAGAATGTCCTGGCTCTTGTATTGTCAGTTTGCTTAGTTTCACCTGCTTCAAAAATGCCGAAATGACAGATCTGTTCAAATGCAAACGGTCCGGCCAGACATGTTGTGCTCCCAAGAGTAAGATTTTGGAGAAACAACAATTCCAAACACGCAACGATACTGCCTATGGACACTATCAACCACTACCCCCACCGCCGCCACCTCAGTTGGGTGTCCAACAATATCCTCCCCAGTCGGTATATCCCCCACCGCCACCACCTGCCTACATGCCAACACAACAGCCCCAGATGCATCATCATTATGCACCCCAACCCCAGCCACCAATGCAAATGCAACCGCATCCGCAGCCAAGTTATGACTATTCGGCCTATGGACCAGGAATACGTAAGTATTGGAATTGTCACTAAAAAATTTGCGATTCAAGAGGATTATAATTCTGAGGACTCGAAATCATAGATCCTAATCGATATTATTTCTCTTTACAGTTCCCCATCAAGGTGGCATACCACCCCAACTGCAACCACAACATCAACATTTGCCGCCACCACCACCACCCCCGCAACCAATCAGCACCATACCAACAACTACAACGACCACCACCACAACAACTACACCTCGACCCCATGTCTATTCGAAATATGTTTGCGGTGTTAAGGGCACTCTACGAACTGGTCGCTCCTCACCGGCCCTATCACTGGTCTCCTACATTCGTGCCAAATACGGGGTGCATCGTCAGTCGCGCCAGTTGAGCGAAAACTTCATTATGCCCAGCGGTATGCAAAAGACCAACGAACGTTTAATTCTCGGCTCCGACATTGTGCCCATACAGATACACAATGACAAATTGGGTGATTTGGTGCAGGAAGATGTGGCCAATTACAATCAGGTACGGTCCTATAACGACGATTATCAGGCTGCGGTATTTGCCCAGAACTATTTTGCCAACTACACGACATCGGGTCGCCGTAGGGCTCGTGTTGTGGGCGGTGAAGATGGTGACAATGGCGAGTGGTGTTGGCAGGTAGCCCTAATCAATTCCATGAATCAGTATTTGTGTGGTGCGGCTTTGATTGGTACCCAATGGGTTCTGACGGCGGCCCATTGTGTGACGAAGTAAGTGCTCTACAGATAATTGGAGGAATTCAAATTTATTGATTTGCTTGAATTTCAGTATTGTGCGTTCGGGTGATGCCATTTATGTACGTGTTGGTGATTATGATTTGACCCGCAAATATGGCAGCCCTGGTGCCCAAACTCTGCGCGTGGCCACCACTTATATCCATCACAATCACAATAGCCAAACACTGGACAATGATATTGCATTGCTGAAACTGCATGGTCAAGCTGAGTTGAGGGATGGAGTCTGTTTGGTAAGTTGGAGAAAATTCTTGTATTCTAGAATTATTTCAAGTATTTGCTGCGGAAAGAGAGAGCTTTCCTATTGACTAAAAACTAGACTCTTACATACAGAAGATAGGACATATGTTAAGAGGAAAGTTTTTAGATTTTTAATGAGGGAAAGATGAGCTACTTTCAGAGCTCAGATTTGCTCGATTTCACTCGAGTGTGAAAAATGCTCGAGAGCTGGAGTGCTCGAAGAGTAAGTGTTTTACACGAAGTTTACTCTTCACTCGTTTGGTTTTTTATCCATCTCCCGTTTGAGAGATAAAAGTGAGTGAGTATAGTGGCAAACTAGTTTTAATGTTGCCGAGTACGGGAGAGATGGTAGACCATGAAGAGAAAAACAGCAAAAGCCCTGACTCGGTTGAATTACTGTAAAATAATGACCAAAGCAACCATGACATGGTCATCGAATAATATCAACGTGCAACATAAACAATAATTACAGGAAGAAAGTTGGAAATGCCTACACTGTAGTGGGCCACCCTTTAAACGGGATTTTATCAATCCAGAATATTCTACAAATTTATATATACAGGGTGAGATAAAAAAACTGCAACAAAGTCAAACGCCATAATTTTAATTATACCCTCCACCTTGGAAAGGAGGGTATATTAACTTTGTCATTCCGTTTGTAACATCCTTAAATATTCGTCTTAGACCCCATAAAGTAATAAAATTCTAAGTCGATTTAACGATGTCCGTCTGTCTGTCTGTCTGTCCGTCAGTCTGTTGAAATCGCGATACAGCCCACATTATTTGACGTAGAGCGCCAAAATTTAGCAGAGCTATTTACATTGTGTCTAGGATGGTTGGTATTGAAAATGAGATATAACGGTCCACGTTCTGGTATAGTCCCCATATAACGGTACCTCCCGATATTCGGTATTTTGATGATTTATGCCACATTTTTTCACGGATTTGTCTGGAAATTGGTATTTTTAGGTCATAACTGCTCCCTGAGCGTGTGGCAAAACATTGCATGTATAGGTCCACGTTGTGGTATAGCCTCCATATAAAGGTACCTCCCGATATTCGGTATTTTAGTTTTTTTGCCACATTTTTTCACGGATTTGTCTAAAAATTGGTATTTGTGGATCATAATGATTTGCAGCTCCGGTGGCGAAACATTGCATGTATGGGTCCATGATTTGGTATAGCCCCCATATAACGGTACCTGCCGATATTCGGTAATTTGATGATTTTTGCAACCTTTTTTCACTGATTTGTCTAAAAATTGGTATTTGTGGGTCATAATGGGTCCTAGTTCGTGTGGCGAAACATTGTAATTATAGGTCCACGTTTTGGTGTGGCCCCCATATAACGGTACCTCCCGATATTCGGCATTTTAATGGTTTTTGCCACAATTCTTCTAATGTTTCTTTTACCCTAAGGTGGAGGGTATAAAAAGTTTGGCCCGGCCGAACTTACTGTTTTTTTACTTGTTTTTATACCCTACACCACATAGTGGTAAGGGTATTATGTCTTTGTGCATTTGTTTGTAACATGGAGAAGGAAACGAGATAGACCCATAGTTACTTTTGAGAAACTTCATAGAATCACTTTCTGAGTCGATTTATGCATGTCAGTCCGTCTGTCCGTCCGTCCGTCCGTCCGTCCGTCCGTCCGTCCGTCCGTCTGTCCATGTATTCTTGTGAACAAAATGCAGGTCGCATTTATTATCCGATTGAGATGAAATTTTCCAAGCAATATTTTTTTGGCCCAAGGACGAACCCTATTGAAATTGGTGAGAATCGGATCAAATTTAGATATAGCTCCCATATATATCTTCATCCGATTTCGGGTTAAATGTGCCCCAAATGTCCACTATCAGTCCAAATTACCTGAATTTTGGCACACCCAACCGAGTTCGGCCTAGAAGCAAGTATATCAAATTTGGAGAAAATCGGTTCAGATATAGCTATAGCTCCCATATATATCTTTCATCCGATTTGATCTTTAAGTCCCTCACATTCCTACTATGCACTCCACAACCGTGATATTTGGTACCAGGTATTAGATGGAGCACAGAAATAGCTGTTTTAAATTTTATCGAAATCGGTTCAGATTTGGATATAGCTCCCATATATATCTTCATCCGATTTCGGGTTAAATGTGCACCAAATGTCCACTATCAGTCCAAATTACCTGAATTTTGGCACACCCAACCGAGTTCGGCCTAGAAGCAAGTATATCAAATTTGGAGAAAATCGGTTCAGATATAGCTATAGCTCCCATATATATCTTTCATCCGATTTGATCTTTAAGTCCCTCACATTCCTACTATGCACTCCACAACCGTGATATTTGGTACCAGGTATTAGATGGAGCACAGAAATAGCTGTTTTAAATTTTATCGAAATCGGTTCAGATTTGGATATAGCTCCCATATATATCTTCATCCGATTTCGGGTTAAATGTGCACCAAATGTCCACTATCAGTCCAAATTACCTGAATTTTGGCACACCCAACCGATTTCGGCCTAGAAGCAAGTATATCAAATTTGGAGAAAATCGGTTCAGATATAGCTATAGCTCCCATATATATCTTTCATCCGATTTGATCTTTAAGCCTCTAACATTCGTAATATGCACTCCACAAGAATTATATTTGGTACCAGATATAAGATACAGCCCAGAAATAGCTGTTTGTAATTTTATCGAAATCTGTTCAGATTTGGATATAGCTCCCATATATATCTTCATCCGATTTCTGGTTAATTGTGAACCAAATGGCTGATATAAGTCCAAATGGACTGAATTTTAGTACATCGGACCAAATTCAGCCTAGAAGCAAGTATATAAAATTTAGTGAAAATCGGTTCCGATATAGATATAGCAACCATATATATGTTTCATCCGATTTAGTGTTTTAGTCCCTTACATTCGTAATATTCACTCCACAACCGTGATATTTGGTACCAAGTATTAGATGGAGCACAGGAATAGCTGTTTTAAATTTTATCGAAATCGGTTCAGATTTGGATATAGCTCCCATATATATCTTCATCCGATTTCGGGTGATTGACCACCAAATGGCCGTAATAGCATCAATTTTGGCAAATCCGACCGAAACCAGCTTAGAAGCAAGTACACCAATTTTAGTAAAAATCGGTTCAGATATAGCTATAGCTCCCATATATATCTTTCATCCGATTTGGTCTTTAAGTCCCTCACATTCGTAATATGCACTCCACAGGAATGATATTTGGTACCAGATATCAGATAAAGCCCAAAAAAAGTTGATTTTAATTTTATTAAAATCTGTTCCGATTTGGATATGCCTCCCATATATATCTTCATCCGATTTCGTGTTAATTGTGCATCGAATGGCCAATATAGGTTCAGATTTGGATATAGCTCCCATATATATCTTCATCCGATTTCGGGTTAAATGTGCACCAAATGTCCACTATCAGTCCAAATTACCTGAATTTTGGCACACCCAACCGAGTTCGGCCTAGAAGCAAGTATATCAAATTTGGAGAAAATCGGTTCAGATATAGCTATAGCTCCCATATATATCTTTCATCCGATTTGATCTTTAAGTCCCTCACATTCCTACTATGCACTCCACAACCGTGATATTTGGTACCAGGTATTAGATGGAGCACAGAAATAGCTGTTTTAAATTTTATCGAAATCGGTTCAGATTTGGATATAGCTCCCATATATATCTTCATCCGATTTCGGGTTAAATGTGCACCAAATGTCCACTATCAGTCCAAATTACCTGAATTTTGGCACACCCAACCGATTTCGGCCTAGAAGCAAGTATATCAAATTTGGAGAAAATCGGTTCAGATATAGCTATAGCTCCCATATATCTTTCATCCGATTTGATCTTTAAGCCTCTAACATTCGTAATATGCACTCCACAAGAATTATATTTGGTACCAGATATAAGATACAGCCCAGAAATAGCTGTTTGTAATTTTATCGAAATCTGTTCAGATTTGGATATAGCTCCCATATATATCTTCATCCGATTTCTGGTTAATTGTGAACCAAATGGCTGATATAAGTCCAAATGGACTGAATTTTAGTACATCGGACCAAATTCAGCCTAGAAGCAAGTATATAAAATTTAGTGAAAATCGGTTCCGATATAGATATAGCAACCATATATATGTTTCATCCGATTTAGTGTTTTAGTCCCTTACATTCGTAATATTCACTCCACAACCGTGATATTTGGTACCAAGTATTAGATGGAGCACAGGAATAGCTGTTTTAAATTTTATCGAAATCGGTTCAGATTTGGATATAGCTCCCATATATATCTTCATCCGATTTCGGGTGATTGACCACCAAATGGCCGTAATAGCATCAATTTTGGCAAATCCGACCGAAACCAGCTTAGAAGCAAGTACACCAATTTTAGTAAAAATCGGTTCAGATATAGCTATAGCTCCCATATATATCTTTCATCCGATTTGGTCTTTAAGTCCCTCACATTCGTAATATGCACTCCACAGGAATGATATTTGGTACCAGATATCAGATAAAGCCCAAAAAAAGTTGATTTTAATTTTATTAAAATCTGTTCCGATTTGGATATGCCTCCCATATATATCTTCATCCGATTTCGTGTTAATTGTGCATCGAATGGCCAATATCAGCCCAAATGGCATGAATTTTGGCAAATCCGACCGAAACCAGCCTATAAGCAAGTACACAAATTTTAGTAAAAATCGGTTCAGATATAGCTCTAGCTCCCATATATATGTTTCATCCGATTTGCTCTTTAAGTCCCTTACATTCGTAATATACTCTTCACAGGAATGATATTTGATACCAGATATCAGATAAAGCCCAAAAATAGTCGATTTTAATTTTATCAAAATCTGTTCAGATTTGGATAAAGCACCCATATATATCTTCATCCGATTTCGTGTTAATTGTGCATCGAATGGCCAATATCAGCCCAAATGGCATGAATTTTGGCAAATCCGACCGAAACCAGCCT